TGTCCCAATTGTCATCATGAAGGGGGGGAATTTGACGCGGGGTTATCGATAAATTGAATGAATGTGGGCAATAAAATGATAAACAATAAAAACCTTAGTTTACCAAATATATTCGAATAATTTAACTTTTAAAAATAAATTAACTAATTAAAAAATTTAATAACTATATTATTGTCTTACTTGAATGAATGTGGACAATAAAATGAATTATCAAGAAAAAACGAGTATGTAAACGGGACAACCTCCCCGGCCCTATCCCCTCCTTGCTTTGCTTTAAACAGGTAACTCTGCCTCGTCCCTAACCCGCTCCATTGCCAACCCTAAATGTCATTTCAAAATTTGAGTAGTTTGACCGGCAACAATTTTTTTATTAGACAAGCGCATAAACTTTCTCTAATTGCTTGCTTCGGGATAAACGACCTACACTTAGATATGTTAAATGGGTTGAGCAGAGTTCGTTCAACTCATCCACTATCTAGTTTGAGTTTGGGCCACCATGCAGTCAACTCGCACTCACACATGGGACAAGTCCAGCTTGAGTCAGAACATGAGACTATTCGAGCCGAGCCAAGCAACTTGCCAATTTTTTTTAATAACAATTGTATTTCAACTTAAAGATGGCAAGCCAGCTTGTACGAGGTTTTTACTGCTTGGCTCATTTGTGGCGTAAATCGATAAGCAACTTACCTCATTTAACTCTCATACTCAAATTAAGCATGTCTTATTTGCTGAGTCATTAATCAAGGTTGGTATTCCCAAAATTTCTAAATAAATTGTTAGACAATATCTAGGTGACAAATGATATTCACAACTAATATGATGATTGTAACATAAAAAGTAAAATTTGTTACATAGCCAGAAATTTCTTTATGATATTCATACCTACCAAGGAAAAGGACTTTTTGGTGTTAGGTTAAAAATATTATTTTCAGTTACAAAAGTCTGCACGAACTTTCCTCCTAGATAAAAACATGTGAACTTTAATTTTAATAACAATTTATGTTGCTTATATTTAATGCACCACCATCCACGTCAAGAATCTTTTATTATGTTCGTGTACCTACAAATGAATAGAAGTTCTTTGCCTGAGTTGAGCTATCATGCAATGAATTTTGCTGTTTTACTAGGGTGAACCCCTATCGACAATCGACACTCACACCAATTGAGTCTCGCATGGTATAAACAACTAGTTGTGAGTATTCGGTAGGGCCCGTACATGAAGCAGTGGATTAGTTTTTGTCGATTTCTATATTAGATGTTCACATGTTGTTACTTAAAAAAATTGTTTTGCTTAAAAAATTCCACCTTAAATAGCTGTCGCAATTGCGTTTGAAGACCGACTACCAAAAAAATTTTTGTTTTTCGGTCAAATTATAAGAAAAGTACCAGTTTAAGAGTTAACGTGAATGACTTAACCTCCAATTAATGAAAATACTAAGCATGAAGTTAAAAGAGAGCAATAAACAAGTTTTGTATCTCGTGTGCTCAGAGATGGATTCAAAATTGGATTACAAGTTGGACTAATATGTTAAAAAAATAAAATACTAGTAAATATATTTTTTACACAGAAAAAAATTATGTGGGCTGGGATTGGACAGGACTACACCCTGCTCTAGCACCCCCAACACCCACCCCCTTTGCATCCCTGCCCATACCATAGTTGTATTATAAGGTGTGAATTATTTATGGGTTATTTTCCTTGTACAATACGTGAGGGTACTCGCGATCAAATTATTTATAAGTTATTTTCCTTGTAAAGCACTTGTATAAAGTTATAGCTCCCTCACATGAGAGGGCCCCACGATGGCTATAAGTCTTGCTTTACACAAGAGTGTACACAGCAAGCACAACCTATTATTTATTGGCTCGTGATCACCTTCACAAATCATCGTGGGGCCCCCTCATGTGAGGGGGCTGTAAGTCTACAGCAAGGAAAACATATTATTTATTGGCTCGTGATCACCCTCACAAGTCACAATAAATATTATTGTTATAGAGTTCATCCATATTTACCTATATGCCATATTTGGCAAGTCTAGTTCCTTGTTAATATCACTATTTAAGAGCATCACCAACATACTGAAGGTCTTGAGAAAGGAATATAGCTATTGCTTCTATCCAAAGTGGAAATTTGGACCTAGTGAAAATGGATAGATGACCTACCTCTTGATTTATAAGAAGCTTAATAAAATCCACCTAAACCTACCATTGAATTACTGGCAATTGCTGATTGAGTTCTTTAATGGCAACTACTATCTTGTGGGGGAGAAAGAACTCAGGTGAAGAAGCCATGCAGAACTAAGCATAGTTACTTTCCTACAGTCTCCAATTCGCCATCTCAGCCCATGGCGGAATAGCTCGTATTCAAGCAAAAATATGACTATCAATTGACATAGTTAAAATAGCCTTTACCGCTTTATTGTACAACTCAAAATTAAGAGAATACTGGCATTTTCTTTGATGAAAAATAAGAGCAATTAGAAGTTTCTCTATGAACATACCATAATTGTTTCTTTTATTATTTCGGTACGAATACGTATCATTTGGAAATATTGGAGAAGATTGTGAAAATTAAGTCAATATGATCCTCATGCACACTCATGCTATCCATACACAATTATCATACAGTCATATCCTATCAATGTTCCATTAAACTTTTAGTATGAATCCAATTATTTTTTTATTTTGATTTTTGGTAAGCAAAGATAACAATCCATTAATTTTTAAATAAACCTTTGCAAAATTTTCACATATCGACCCTGCATTGAAGATTATTCTTCAAGACATTATTACCGTATTGTATTGTGTGTGTATGAACAGTCTAGTGTGGTCAATTTACAGTCCAACATAGTGAAAATAAAGTGATTACTTCATAAACAATGATCAATTGTATATCAAATCAGTCGATATTTAAGTTGTCCAATATAAGAAAAACGAATAATTCGCAACTAACTGAGTTTTATAATTTTAGGTAATGTCTTTTACAACCCCAAAAGTAGCTTTTGCACAACCATTTATGGATAATATATATCACTTC